AATTAAAAAATGGAGCTGCATGTGCTTTTTGTTCTTATTTAGAGATATTTCTGTGGCATTCTTTATAATACCACCATGTTCAGAAAGAGATAATGGTAACTGTCATGACAGAACTGAAAAACAGAAGAGGTTGTCATTCTTTTTATGGTTTAGGAGTTGAGACAGATTATATGACTTGCCTCAGAACACACATGATGTCTGTGGCAATGCTCAAGTCTTTCCTTCTGCTATTTAAAGGACTTGATTACTGATCCTGTTTTCGCAGTAGTATTTTTGTAAGACCTAGGTCGTGTTGCACTTTCTTAGTACCTTGTAACAACTCCTATTGTCCGAACCTGTTTGTTTATGGGCTTACAAACTAGAATAATAAAGAGGTTTGGATAATTTTGGCACAGGGCTTGTGTTCAGACATTTGATAGTAATTGACCTTCCTTCTGTGGAGAAATCTGGCTCACTGCACAGATGCACATATGCATGTGCCAGTACATCGTTGAGGAGTGAACAACTGGTGGCAAGCATTACTAGTCCTGAATGTGCACTCTGATACAGCAAATAGCGAGCAAAATGTACTTTAGGAGCAGTTGTTCTGGATATTATTGAATTATATTCGCCAGTTAAGACAGCTTATGTTGAAGTGTAGTTAGCAGCTTAGTAAGGGATGAGCCAGCGTTGTTTTAATACTGACCAGGAGCTTCTGTAAACTAGTCTGTTTCCAGACAGTAGCAAATGTACATTCAAAACAACAGACCTTCTGGTTCTCATTGGTAAAGGATGACACAGATGCCTGATGTGAGATTGCAATGGAGGTCTGTAGCTTTATGTATCTTATATGTACTATGTGACTATAGAGCGTCTGCTAACTTTTGTGATCCCTCAGTAGTAAACCTGATCTCAGCAGGGTGGGGAAGAAGGCTTCACTAAATTTCTAAAGACTCAGTGGCTTCTCTGTGCATGGTAGTGTTAAAAGTCTTACTAAGTTAAAACAAAGCTGAGTTTCTTTCTATGCTAGCTATCCAGAAGACCTCCTTTGATCGTAAAACAAAATTTGTTTGACGTGGTTTTGTTCTTAGCAAACATTGACTTCTTGTTTTGTTTCCCTGTCTCCTTTTAAATGCTTACTGGAACAAATGAACTATTAATACTACTTCTAAAACTGAAGTTAAACTTATGGTCCCATAATTCTTTAGTGCTTTTTAACCTTTTATTTAGTCCAGGTTTCTTTAGTCTGCATTGCTATTAACTTTGTTAGCAATTTACTCAGTTGACTTTACTAAAGGAAAAGCATTTAACACACCTGGCTTTTCAAGGTCACAGCAGGCTTTTGATGTGAATGGTACTGCTTCTCTTGGTCTTTGTATTTTGCTGTGTCTGTCCTGTCTAGCATCTTGCCCCCATGTGCTTGTGGTAGTTTTTATGCTCTACCTTAGTAATCTGACCTAGTTTCTGTTTCTTGAATGCTTCTTTCTTATATTTTATGGTCAGTAAAGGCCTCATGACTTGGCCAACTTCACTTCTTTACTGTCTTTCCTCCCCCAATAGGATTGTTTGGATGTCATAGCTCTCCTATTAAGTAACCAGGTTTCCATAACTCCATTTTTTGCCTTGGGCTTCTCCATAACTCTTTTTTTTTCCTTGCACTTGCCTATTGTGAGACTTCCCAGAGTTTGTTTACCCTCTGCTTTCTTGAAGCCCTGTGTTGGATTTTTTTTTGAGCTATTCTCACTCCTTTCCATCTTAAGGATTGTCAGCTGTTTGGGTGGTTTTTTTCTTTCTTTTTTCCCCTATTTCTTTCACCCAAGTTATATTCATCTTTGTATGTTTACTAGTTCCTTCAAATTGGTCAGAGGACTCTTCCAGATTGGATTCTCTCTACAGTCTTTAATAGGACAAAAATAATTATCGGTAAATAGTCTAGTAGAATTAATGACGATTTGTAAAGGTCATAGTAGTTAGTGCTGTCCTTTGTATGAACAACTAAAAGGTTATTTTAACACATTGCTATAAGGGGGAGGGCTTGTGTGTGCAAACTGAAATAAACGTACCTGTTTATTGATTGTGTCTGAAAATGATTTGGGTGATTTAGACTTCAAAATACATTGTTTCCACAGTCTTAAGTATGCTTTTGGGATTCAGTGTTCATTAGATGCATAGTTCTTACTTTGGGTTTCTGGCTTCCTGTTTTTTGAGTGTATGCGTGTATGCTGCTGGGGAGGGGTAATGGGAGAGCACGGTGCCAAACTCATTAGAAGTTGTTTGTCATGGAGAGGGACCAAAGAAGCCTGAGTCAGAAGAGTGCTCTCCTGCCTTCTCCATCTCTTCCCCACTTTTTCCTAGCTGATGTTGATAATTCTGTGCTAGTCTGATCTCTCCACCTCAGCTTCATGAAACTTAAAATTCTAGTGTACATCTGCTTTTTGTAAATCCCAGTGACATTGAAAGTGGGCAAACTGACTTAAATATTTTAAGACTTCTTGATTATTGCTGCATGAGAAATAAGGCTTTTTGTTTGTGCTAAAACTCTCACCATTGCAATGTGCTGCTACTCTTCCTAAAGCCATTAATGGCATTAAATGGTTACACACAGGACTTGAAGCCTTCCAACTGTTGTTTTCCCATAACATTTTTATTATTTCAAAATTTCTGTACCTGTAACTATTTTATTTCTAAGTTTTGAGTAGCTGGATAATTGCTTTTATTAGGATTGCCTTTTTCCTCCCTTGACCTACACTTCTAATACTGAGTTAGGAAACAAGGACATCTGTGGTCTTGCACGTGACTATACCGATAGATGTGGAAAACCTGTAACTAACTACTGTCTGCATTTCATGTTTTGTGATGGGAAACAGCAAAAAGAAAGACACCCAATTAAAGTTTTAAAAAACGTTTGTTATTCTAGTGAAAGGACAGGGAAATGCTGTTTTGACAGTGTTCAGTGTAGTGAGCTTGTGTTAATTATTTGTACAATATACAACATAGTCCTTACTGAGTATCCTGATCCTTTTAGTGTATGCATATTTAGAAATTGGCCTGTACTGATTTTTTTTTTTGTGGTCTTAACATATATAGTAGTTGTTAATGATATAATTATATAATATGGATAATTGTTATATATGACTATATGTAATATATAACAAAATCACACAATGCTTATAAAACTACTTGGTAGTAGTCTTAAATGCAATTTTGAGCCTCCTTTAATAGACAGATTACTAATAGAGCTGCTCCTTGCCCATGAATCTTCAGCTTTTTGGTTTTTTTTAAAGTCTGAGGAACATAGTCCGTTCCTTGGTAACAGTATGCTTTCTCTCCATTTGAAAATGGTTCCTTGTTGTCTCTGAGGAGATGCTGTTCTGTTTTGTTTCTGTTTTAGTTAATTTTAAGCTGATTGCTATTAGTGAAACTGATAATAGAATTACTTCATTAACATACTAATTTTTTTCATCATGGAAAGGCCTAAAACACATGACTTCCTGTCTGGATATTTTGTCTGATTGTGAGAGAGACTAGATTTATTTTAAAACAAGTATTAATATTCTACTGATACTCAGGACAAAAACCATTTTATAAAAAAAAAAAAAAAGCTAATACCCAGTGGTGCAATTAATGTCATCCAGTCTGGATTTATGGAAAAGAATTGTATGAATACGATGTCTCATCATCACGTTTGACAGAGGAGCATTTTAATTTGCAGAAACATTTATGCTTCTGCAGAATATTCCCCTACTACTAAAAAAAATACTTAAAGAAAAAACCCAACCCACATAAAGCACTAGAAACTGTATGATTTTAATGGTGATGTTGAATGTTAGTGATGGTCAAAGTGATTCAGCATTAAAAGAAATTACTCAGGTTGTAGAGACAATATTGTTAACAGATTTTGAGACTAGTTTCAGTGTCTGGTGGGGATGGTTCAAGTACATTTAATTTCATCTGCTAGGAGATGACAGACTAGTGAACTACATGAGGTCTCCTGCATACTTACTTTCTATAATTATAGAGGGAAGGCTGTATTTTACAAGGGGACAGAAACAAGACTGGAAGCATAGTGGTTACAAAATAAGAAAAAAAACCTGTGTTTTCTACTCTTGTTTCAGACAAATGTCTCATACTGGCAGTTAATTCAATATTGAGAAGCAAGGCAAGAAAAATCTGCTTCAGTTCTGTGAGACAAAGCTGCTGATTTGGTTAACAGGACTTGCACTCCCTCTCAATTGCTTGTTTTTCTTTGGAATATTTCCTGTGTTTTGGATAAGTTAGTGAGATCTGAGAATATTTTGGTTTGCCTTTTTTATGCTGAACAACTTGTGCTCAAACTTTGTGAGACTGCACTTGAAAAATGCTATTCTGTGGGATGGGCACTTGAGAGTTTTCTAAGCAACCAAAAAAGATCTTTGGAATAAGATTCTTCATAATATCTTTAATAATATTCTTTGTTAGCCTCTTTTGAGTGAATATTTTTGGTTGTTTATAATCTTCATTGAAGTTTGAGTTTGTAAGATGCTTTGTAGTGTTAAAGGAGATAAATACTATGTATGTGATATTCCAGTGCTTGTAAGTATTGACTAGTGGGCTTGCAAAAAGTATCATGGTATCATGAATACATGTCCAGAAGATTAATTTTTACTGGATTATGATTAAAAATGTTTAATTATGAATGGAATGTAGTTATGAAAGATAGTTTGAATTGAGTGTTCCAGCTTAGATATCTTCAATATTTTAAACCCATTTTCTGTGTGTATTACATTTTCAACCACTGAAGATGTGTATAAACTGTGGAATCTGGTTGAAAACAAGATTTATGACAGAAAGCTATGCTGTAGCCACACTTAGCTGTAAATATGGCTGGGGAGCTTTATTTTGTGTTGGTAGTGTAATGGGAAATGTCTAGGATCTTGAAAACAGGCCATACCTGGGAAACAAAGGATTTTGTTTATGGCATTTTCCAAGTATTGTATTCTGACTCTCTCTTTTTTCTTTTTTTTAAATTATTTTCTTTTCAGATCTTGAGTCAGATGACTGTGCATCCATATACATCTTTAATGTAGACCAACCATCATCCTCTGTAAATCAGCCAATTTGTATTCCTCGCCATGGGTTGCAGTCTCACTCCTCTCCTCTGTCACCACCTACAAGACTTCAGGGTCATAAGAACTATGAAGGAACTTGTGAGGTACCAGAATCCAAATATAGTCCACTAGGTGGACCCAAACCCTTTGAGTGCCCCAGTATTCAAATTACATCTATTTCACCTAACTGTCATCAAGGGATTGAAGCCAATGAAGATGAATTGCACACAAATGGCACAGAAAATGAGTATATGGAAAGGCCTTCACGGGACCATCTCTATCTTCCTCTTGAGCCATCATATAGGGAATCATCCCTTAGTCCAAGCCCTGCCAGTAGCATTTCGTCCAGAAGTTGGTTTTCAGATGCTTCCTCTTGTGAATCCATTTCCCATGTTTATGATGATGTAGACTCAGAGCTAAATGAAGCAGCTGCTCGATTTACCCTTGGCTCTCCTTTGGCATCCCCTGGTGGTTCTCCGAGAGGTCCCAGTGATGAATCTTGGCAGCAGCCTTATGGATTTGGGCATGCCTTGTCACCTAGACAGTCTCCCTGTCATTCTCCTAGAACTAGTATTACAGATGAAAATTGGCTAAGCCCTAGGCCAACATCAAGGCCATCATCGAGACCTACATCCCCCTGTGGGAAACGACGACACTCCAGTGCTGAGATTTGCTATGCTGGTTCTCTCTCTCCTCACCATTCTCCAACTCCATCACCTGGCCATTCTCCCAGAGGAAGCATAACAGAAGACACGTGGCTAAACACTTCCATCCATAACGTACAAGGCCTTAATTCTGGCCTTTCACCATTTCAGTGTTGTACAGAGACTGATATTCCTCTAAAAACAAGAAAGACCTCAGAGGATCAGACTGCCACTTTATCTGGAAAAATAGATATCTGTCCTGAAGAACAGGGTAACTTATCAACATCCCTTGAAACTGCAGTAGATGACTGCTCTGGATCTCAACACACCTTGAAAAAAGATTTGCCTGGAGACCAATTTCTTTCTGTTCCTTCGCACTTTACTTGGAACAAACCAAAGCCTGGTCATACTCCTATATTTCGGTAAGTGATCAGAAAGTCCTTCAGAAGGCTTCCCTCCTGTTTTTCCCCTCCTGTGCATTTTAAATAGACGTAAAAATGTGCTTGTATTTCAGTGATGCATTAAGACTTCTTAAAGAAAACTTCTTGTAGGCAGGTAGATGATGTAATTAGGAAAAAACAAGTTAGGACACCAAATACCCATCTTTTTCTTCTTTTAAAAATACAGTAGATGCATTGTAACATAGGATTAGTTTTATTCAAATACAGTTGGTTTGCATATGTGCACAAGCCTAGCTGAATCAAATGTCTGCAGATTTTGTGCACACTTTGCAGTTTCATCTAATCTGAGCAGTTAACATTTTAATATAGCTAAAGAAACCTGACTTACATGATTTTATAAAACTGTGAGACCACAGAAGAGGTGGGGAGTTTATTTGCTTTTGGTTTTACTTGCTGCTTTGGGCTGATAAAATTCTAGAAATAGAATGGAGAAAATAAATTTGCATGCCATACTGAAAATCATCCAGAAAGAATTGGTTTCTGGGCTGTAGTTCCAAGGGTATTTCCACCATCGTGGTGCTGAGTTCACTAGCTCTTTTCTTTTTGTAGTCCTGTCATATGCTAGCAGGATGATCTGTGGAGGCTCAGAAGGGGGAAGTGGTTCAGTTGGGGGAAAAATTCACCCTCCCTCCCATTCTGTTACTTTTTAGATGGAGCAGTTCTGTGATCTTTCCAACCATACAGCTTCTGGAATCACTTTGCCAGCACAATGCAGCAGGTGGAGTAGAAATGAGAACTCCTTAAGCAGTATTGCTGCTGAATGGACAGATACTGTGATTACTCAGCTCAAGTTACGCATTTGATTCCCGAACCACCTTCCTGATCTGCTAGGTTTTAAAAATAAAGGGGTAGGGAGGTACTGGGAGGAAGGAGCTGCACACATTTTTTGTGTGGATGTTTTGTAAGAAAGGTACATTAGATTAATATCTGTTAAGCACAATTAGCCATATAAAATCCATATTATAGGTTTAAATGTCAGTGCTTCCGTGCTAGTCTGTATACATTTTAAAATAACTTTGATTAAAATAGTATCATTCTGTCCACAGGCAATGCTTAAGATTTGCTCTTCAAGGATGTAGTGGATGAAGCAATTCCTCTTTCTTAGAGGGGTGGGGGAGAAAGTTAGGGTAGGATTCTCCACATATATGCTTTATTTTGAAAAAGGCAAAGCTTAAATCCTAAAAGGTAATGACAAAATATAGTGTTCTTCTCATTGCAAAGTCATTTTTGCAAAGCACTTGTTTTCATACTCTGTATTTGTAATTTTAGGAAGAATGGCTTAGAAAATCTTCATGGCTTTAATGTTTTCCTTCCCCCTACCACCTCCTCCCCAAAGGAAAGAAAAAAAGCAAAATAAAGAAAAGAATATTTCTGACCAATCTTCAGAGATGCCCTATAGGAGACTTTTTTCCCTGGCTCTCAAGAGTTTTAAATCCTTAGCAGAAAACTAGCAGAAAACAAGTAAGTTGGCTTCAGTAAGCCAAGCTTACTGAAGAGGTATTCTTCTCAGGGACCTCCCTCAAAAGCACAACTTTTTGAAAAGTGGATGCTGGCTTTCATGGCAACATGCTAGTTTTTATGTAACTCCCCTTTCTAGTGGCTTCTTGCAAATTCTGATATCATTCTTGCATAATTTTAACATCTCGATGTATTATTTCCTGATGACTTGTCAGATGATCAAGCCCGTTGAAAAAATGTTTTAGAATACCTGTCTCATTCTCCGTTGGGTACATGAATATTCTCAGGGGTGTCCATCTTGTGGAATATAGAAGCACTCAGTCATCTTTTGAAGACTGCTTTCCACCTGCATTTTAGGCAGAGAACTAATGGAGAAAATTCAGCTGTAACTGTTACTATTGAGTACCTAAGATGGAAGTTACGAACACAAATGGGTGAAATAGAAACCAGTACTTTCAGGGTACAGTGAAACATCCTTAAAATAAATAGATAAGTGAATTATAGCTTTAAGAGCTTCCGGAAGGGTAACTTCTAATGGGTACTGTCAAATAGACTTCACTGTTCATCTGAGTTCCAACAGTTAACTTTTCAGTTTTACTGCTGAACATATTCCTATGTGGTGATAGATGTGTCACACAGAAGGCTCATTTTTATTAACACAAAACTTCTGTTAATTTTAAAACTAAGCTTTGTATACTTTATTTAGAAGTTGTCAACTAGCTTAGATTGTTAATATCTAAATAAGCAATGCTCATTCAGCCATTTTGTCATTTTTGCATAATTGTATAACCACAGATTTTAATTTCTCCTCTCCTCAGAAAGGTGTTGATTTTAGTGTGTACAAGTGATTTTTTTTTTCTTTTAATGTCCTTCCTCATAACTGTTTATGAATGTGAAGTTTAACAGTAAAGACACAAATCTGCTAGATGGAAAATTCTGTTTTACCAGATCTGAAACTACTGTGTCGACAGATACGTTAACTGACTTGAAGTTGGGTTTTTGTGTGTTTTCGGTTTGGTGTTTGGGTTTTGGTTTTTTTTTTAATTCTGTTGGAGTCTGCTCACCTGTTAATAAAAGGTGTTCCGTCTGTTACTAGAATCTTTTCATTCTAAGTAAAACAATGATAACTATTTTTCTTTAATTGTGTATTTTGGAATTATATTATATTTATGTAGGATACTCAGCAGTCCTAACTTAGCATTTTTATTAGCTCACAGGCTAACATAGCTCATAAAAGGTGAGCACTACTGAAAGGTAAAAGCATACGAACATATAGGCGTGTGGCAAGGTGGGGTGTGGATCTGTGGTTCTTTTGTGGGTTGACCAAAATAGTTACAAAAATAGATATTCAGTTAAACCTGCTTCCTCTTGTAGTGGGGAGAACTGAGAACAACTGAATACAAATCAATTTTACTGCTTTCATTAAGAAGTAAAAATATTTTTTAAATGACAATTTATTTAGAAGCTGGCACTGAAGAACTTCTCTAAATAAAAAGTGGGCAAACATGCAGAAGACAATAAAGACTACACCTATTCACAAGTAAACTAAATAAACCCATTAAGCTGTATACATTTGCTGCCAAAAATGTAGTCTTGACTATTGAATTAGTGGAAATGGCTGCATTGGCAGCAGTATCCTCAGTGAATTACTTAGCAGTTGTAGCGTGTTCCACATGTGCTGTGAGGGTATGCATCTTCAGTATGTTAAAACATTTTATTCTGTCATATAATATTTTGTAATTTTGATGCTTATAAAGTAGGGGAGCTAAGTTTACTCTTATGTTTTATGGATAAAAATGAAATGCAAGAAGATCCACTGTTTCTTAAGTAGTTTATGACAATGACCAAAATTGAGCACCTCAGTTGTCATAAGAGTTAGATATTAATTGCAATTTATATCTTTATTACCTATTATATACAGTAATGTATTAATTGTAATATAAATTACAATGTATATTACAATTAATATGCTTTTTAAATGTCTTGATTGTATTGTCAAGTACAAAGTAGTGCATGAAGTAAATTACAGTATTGATTCCAAGCATATGAAGTGACTCTGACAAGTGTGCACACTCAGCTCCAATAAGCTGACTCCTGGTAGAATTGGGGATAACTTGCCTCACATGTGACATGGTGTGAAATGTGCAGATAGCACCTTCTCTGATTGCTATCTAAGGTTTGGTAAATCTGTAATTTGGTTTATCTGTCGAGTCCTGACCATGTTTTCCTTCTTTCATCTGTGTTCAGTAAGTGTGCAGTATTTAACAGAATTTAAAAATGTGTAACATGCTTTTGAGCATTTTAGTTGTATTTCAGATACCACCCAAATAATGTTGTTAGATGACAGCTTGATACTTGGTCACAGAAAACCATAATCTGCCACTGTGTAGCATGTAAAAAAATGTACATGTATTATGTGTCCTGAGTCACATTTCTGCTTCCTTGTCAAAGATAAGTGTAGACAAGTGACAATGGACAGAATCAGTGTAACAATTCCTTTCAAACCGGTAAAAAGGAACTAGGTAGTGTCTTCTGTATCTAGGACTAGTGAAGGTATCTGTTGATGATGTCACTAACCAAGTGCCTTGGCAGATGAGCACTCTTTTGATGGCAGATTAAATTGGTCATTTTACAGAATATTCAGCAATGAAGTTGTTTGATAATTTTATTTATTTATTACATTCTTACTCTTGTTACTGTTATTTAAGATACCTCTTTCTCCACCCCCCCCCAGCCTCCCCCCAGGATGATGGATGAGAAATCACTTTATCTGTGTGTCTCATGTTTCCTTCCCCTCCATTTGGAAAATCTCTTTCTTTTTGGGATCTTAATGTAGTGATAGTAGATCTGACCTCCCCATTTGCTTATTACCCCAATGTTTCATGAAGATGCTCGTTTTAGACTTTTTCTTGCACGTGTACTGTTAGAGCTTGAGTTTTACTCACAGAAAAAACTCAAGGTTTTTTTTTCACTAAATCTCTTTGAAAGACCTATTTCTAGGCTTTTGCATAAAGTTATTTCAGATGCTTTTATTAATTGGATTCTCTGTTTCTTTCACTCCTTTCCCAAACTCTGTATTGGCTGTTGGAAGGGAAAAACATAGATGCTTCAAGTTCACTTTCTTGTTTAGATAGCCTACGTCAGTATAGGTTATAAATAGTCTAGAAGAATACCAGAAAAAGTGTTTCTTCCTCAGGCCTATTCACATTTGAATATCTGAATTTCATCTGCTCACTCTCACTGAAGCACCATCTGAAAGGGGTTTGTATGCTCATGTGAATTATCTGAAGTGTATCCTTAAGCCTTTGAAACTTTGTGAAATTTCTATTTAATAGGTATTTAGCAAATATTTATGAAACCATGTAATATTAGGAAGCTCTTCAAGACTGATCCCTTTTATTAAAATTTTCTTGTTTGGATCCCACTCAGCCTCCTTGAGTACAAAGCTGCTGTATAGAAAGAGGAGTAGCAAACAGTATTTTGAAGTGATATGTATACTTGTT